AACAGGTGGGTGATTTAGGGAGTGAGTTGAGGTGTGGAGACAAGGAGGATTCTGGGAAGTGTAGTGAAGACGAAGACAGGATGGTGCAGACGATGACTGTGACAACGCACAGAGACCTTCACCCGTTCTATTGGATGCCGCCATTGGGCCGATCTAGACGGGCTTACAATATTTACCGCCCCATTCATTGACAACCATATAAACATTGACCAGCTTGCTGATGGATTTTCGGTCAAATACAGGCTATTTTCACTGTGTATAAAACACACAATAGGCCTACTTCAAATGATTATTCATATGTAAATAATATGCACTACTGTAACAACAAGACATGGCGATGTAGCTGTTGTGGAGAAAACTAATACAGAATAGCAGTCACAGCAGTGATCAGTTAAAGTTTAACTGATCGCTGGTTGAAGTTTATGACCCATCCATTTCGGGAATCAAAATTATCTCTGTTTCCCAGTGGTCAATACGACTTGAGCGGGCGTTCATGTCCAATTTTTAACTAGGATACTTGTGTTTATGATCATTCTGATAGCACGTGAAGGCAGCATATATTCACAAAAGAATCTTTGATAACCATCCTAACTATCTACAGAACATGCTGCGGCACGTTTACTGTATGCAGCGTACAAATGTTCTATATATGCACCGGTTGACCTACGACACAAGTGTAAAACTAGAACCAATGTGAATATAGTACAGAGGTGGAAAGAGTCCCTGAAAACCATACTTGACTAAATAGTACAGATACCTTACAGCAAAAATGACTCCATTGCAAGTTACAAGTCACCAATTCCAATACCACTTGAGTAAAAGTCTTAGAGTATCTGATTTTAACATTATAGTAATTGATTTGTGAGGACAGCAATCAATCACATGTTTATTTCCTGTTTCCGTTGTGGTACTTTCTGGAGATTGTGTTGTTGTGATACTTTTCTACCATGGCTGCTTATATTCTCCGGCAGTTCATTGAAAGATCAGATGGGTTCACTCCTCCTGAAATTACGTTTAGGAACTTCACTTATATCACAATAAACAATAGTATAATGGTAGCATATTTTACTCTTTGACCAACAGAGGGCAGCCTTTGACCATATTTAAATTTAAAGTGACTTTCAGAAAGAACCACTGACTCTTACAAGTGACTCGACATTTTAACACAATATAATAACAATGATGTCAATATAAATAATGAGAGCTTCCCATATAAGCTAGCAAGGTTCACGTCATTCAGAGATTTAGAGGCGGTTTTTATGCAGGTACTTTGTGATATTGATGGATGTACAGTCTTTAGAATTGTTATTGCACTTTTATCAGGGCCGGTTCTAGATATTTGGAGGCCCTAGGCAATATTCATGTTGGAGGCCCCTTACCCCCAATAAAAAACTCTTGAAACAAATATGATTCCTAACCTTTTAATTTATACAACATTTAATTTTAAATGTTTTTACTTACACAGTACATAAGTTTGGACACATTACTATTTTTAATGTTTTTGAAAGAAGTCTCTTATGCTAATCAAGCCTGGATTTATTTGATCAAAAATACAGATAAATAATAGTGAAATATTATTAAATAGTTTTGCTATTTTACTACTTTAAAATATATTTATGTGATGCAAAGCTGAATTTAGTGTAATGTGATCCTTCAGAAAACTTTATAATATTCTGATTTATTATCAAATGTTAGAAATGGTGCTTAATATTTATTTTATAACCTGTGATACTTTTTTTCAGGATTTTTTTTTATTATTAAAAAGTTGTTTAAAAAAAGTCTTCACTATCACTTTTTATATATTTAACACATCCTTGCTGAATATTCCTGTTTTTCTTTTTCTTTTTTGTATTTTTGATCAAATAAATGCAGGCTTGTAGAGCATAATAAAAAACTTATTTCAAAAACATTAAAAATAGTAATTGGTCCAGACTTTTTACCAGTAGGCTACTGTATGTACATATTAATCAAACTTCATCTAAGGTCATCTCTTTTTTGTTTAATGAAGATGTTATTGTTATTGTTATTTTGCTGTTTTATTTAATTTATTCACAGTTCCAAAATACCACTTCAGTGATATATGCTTTTATCATTTTTTTCATAGCTGGTATGGGCAGGATTTTCCCCTCCCATTTAATAGATATTGACTGCAGAATGCAGATATTGTCATAATTATTAATATAAGTAGGCCTAATATGATATTATGCATTGCATTGCTAGCTTAAATATGCTATACACAAATGAAGTGGAAGAGAAAGACACGATCGCTACTGATTAGAAAAAAATTCTAAACTGATATTATTGCCGTAAGTAGGCTGATGTCAGACAGGGTATAATCTAATCATCAGCAGAATTTAGAAGATAGACCCAAGATCCTTTATTTGAAACATTTAAAAATGTTGTAGTGTGTTGGCTTTTTAACTTTGAATACAAACGTCTTGTCTTTTACTTTTGTAGTGTTTTTAGTCAGCTCCCGACGCAATGTTATTCATTGTACGCGCAAATTCAAAGCGTCGCGTCTGGGCACATTAATGACGCTCACGCAGCCAGTCTACCCAAGGGATAGACTGCTTTTAAGCCCTATTGTTCTCTCAGGGCACATTATCGGATTATCCCGATTCCAAATGAAGGGGAAGAGTGAAGAGTATTGGAGCAGTGCATTATGGGACATCATGTCAATGTGCTGGAACACTTAGAGAGGAAAGAAGCCCAAGTCTATCAAGGCAGATGCCCAAATGCACAACAGCCCCATTCCAAGGTGATGTAGGATTCCAGTGAACGGGATGGAAAAATGCAAGCTCTGTCTGCTCAAGACCCTAACACAAAACAAAACATGACGAGGCCTGTCATTCTCCACTGTTGTAGAATTACCTTGGAAAAGTCTGGCAAAAGAATGTACACAAAGATCAATGACAACAACTTCAATCCTGCCAGCCTAGTCTTCCCAAAACATGTCACAAGTAGACATTTCCAAGCTTCATTTTCTCTCGTGGTGCAAAGAAATTGCCTGCAGGACCAACATACTGACTCCAAAGAGCCAACAATAACCACCTGACGGACGCTTGAAGGTGAAGGGCAAAGCTCATATTAGGTATTGTGGTCAGATAATGATTCCAGGGCCCTCTGAAATATGAGCAAGTTACATAACCTGTTCTTTTAGAATATAATAGAATAATTACAGCAAATTAATATCCTGTATGACTAATCCTTCAGTAATACAATGTATATCACCTTTCCATATTCTTCCATCAGTGTGTGCAGTAGTTTAGTTCACAGGACTTTGCTCTTTGCCTCCCAAGACACCTTTTATCGGGGACATAAAAGGCCCTGGAAGGTGCAGAAGAATGAAACCATTAAAAAACAAAAGGTACTGTACATTTTCTGTGGTACACCTCCATCTAATCATTGTTATAACTTCAGATTTATGTTACAATTGCAGGTTGGTTCTTAGCAATATATATATACTGCAGACTACACAGCAGTGGCGGCTGGTGATGGAAAAAGTAGGGGGGGCTGAGGTGCAATGTGGTTTTAAAATTTTTATTTTAACAATTAAACAATTGCTGCCGTTTATTTATTACATTAACACCAAAGTAACGGCTCAAAAACAAATAGCATCTAATGTAATTATTAAAGTATGAATTTAGAACGTCCTTGTAGATTTCAAATATTGTTCTTTCAAAGACGTGCCAATTTGAGATTCATTTGGAAACCAAGTCATACAAGGTGAACTAATTGCTATAATTTGCATGAATTACAGTAAGTGCACAGAGTCAATATTCAATAAACACAAAGAGTTAAATAATCGCTGTTATTATATGGAGTAACCACTAGATGGAGAAGACTGTACATTAATTGGAATGGGGAGCAAGTCAATAAAAAATGCTATACATTGTCTCCAGTGTTCACATGAGTCAATCATGAATCTTATCCTTCAGCAAACCACCTCTAAGGCAGACACACACAAAAATAAAATCAAAATCCTTCAAGCACTCAACATCTCCTCTGCTCCTCCAAGCACTCAGCATCTCCTCTGCTCCTCCAAGCACTCAACATCTCCTCTGCTCCTCCAAGCACTCAGCATCTCCTCTGCTCCTCCAAGCACTCAGCATCTCCTCTGCTCCTCCAAGCACTCAGCATCTCCTCTGCTCCTCCAGAGACACAACAGCATCTCCACTACTCCTCCAAGCACAACAGCATCTCCTCTGCTCCTCCAAGCACAACAGCATCTCCTCTGCTCCTCCAAGCACAACAGCATCTCCTCTGCTCCTCCAAGCACAACAGCATCTCCTCTGCTCCTCCAAGCACAACAGCATCTCCCCTGGAGGAGCAGAGGAGATGCTGAGTGCTTGGAGGAGCAGAGGAGATGCTGAGTGCTTGGAGGAGCAGAGGAGATGCTGAGTGCTTGGAGGAGCAGAGGAGATGCTGAGTGCTTGGAGGAGCAGAGGAGATGCTGAGTGCTTGGAGGAGCAGAGGAGATGCTGAGTGCTTGGAGGAGCAGAGGAGATGCTGAGTGCTTGGAGAAGCAGAGGAGATGCTGAGTGCTTGGAGAAGCAGAGGAGATGCTGAGTGCTTGGAGAAGCAGACGATATGCTGAGTGCTTGGAGGAGCAGAGGAGATGCTGAGTGCTTGGAGGAGCAGAGGAGATGCTGAGTGCTTGGAGGAGCAGAGGAGATGCTGAGTGCTTGGAGGAGCAGAGGAGATGCTGAGTGCTTGGAGGAGCAGAGGAGATGCTGAGTGCTTGGAGGAGCAGAGGAGATGCTGAGTGCTTGGAGAAGCAGAGGAGATGCTGAGTGCTTGGAGGAGCAGAGGAGATGCTGAGTGCTTGGAGGAGCAGAGGAGATGCTGAGTGCTTGGAGGAGCAGAGGAGATGCTGAGTGCTTGGAGGAGCAGAGGAGATGCTGAGTGCTTGGAGAAGCAGACGATATACTGAGTGCTTGGAGGAGCAGAGGAGATGCTGAGTGCTTGGAGGAGCAGAGGAGATGCTGAGTGCTTGGAGGAGCAGAGGAGATGCTGAGTGCTTGAAGGAGTAGTGGAGATGCTGAGTGCTTGAAGGAGTAGTGGAGATGCTGTTATGTCCCTGTAGGAGCAGACGAGATGCTGAGTTCCTGATGGTGAGAAGCAGCCGAGATGATTATGCACTGTCACTTGTAAAGAAATTTGGCTCTCCTTTCTTTCTGGGTTGCAAACCTATCAATAACTTTGTTGTTGAAGTTGGGCATGTCTTTCACAATCTTTTTCTCCATAGAAAGCATGGCAAGGGCATTCAGTCTTTCTTGAGACATTGTGCTCCTTAGGAACGTTTTGATTCTTTTTAGAGTGGAGAAGCATCTTTCAGATTCTGCTGATGTCATTGGAGTAGTGATAAGGATTTTCAGAAGATTAACAGTTTCTGAAAATGTGCACTGAAGGTTGTTCTCCATAAAAAACTGATACAGAGGCACTGCACCACTACACTTTTCAAACTCCGGGTTTTCATAGACCAAGGATAGTTCTGTCTTCAGTCTAGCCTTGTTCAGCATCGGATAGGCCTCCACAGTGGCATTCAATGCAGCACTTGGAAAGGTTTTAGCATGCTGTGAGAACAGCTCTCCCTGCAGCAGTGTTGAACTCACAAGGTGCCCAGTGAACGCAAAGCGCTCCTTTGTCTGAGCCCAGATGGTATCACACACCTGTAAAACATAGAAAATAAATAACATATTAATTGCTTTACATATAACTTTATTATATTATGTCACAATACTTTGAATATAGTTGTAAATGTGGATATGCAAAAATCAAGTATGAAATACTGTTGTCTAAACCAAAACTAATCAAGGATCTACAATAGAACTAAATCATTGGTGAATTGAGATTAAGAGGAAATCCAAAATAAAATTATTGTAATGTACAGTACATGTGCTATGTTTTTATCTGTAGTGGCACTTTCTCAGCAAATGAAGTCCCTAACGGATAAAGTGAATTTGATTTGGCAAAACATTAGTAACTGCTCCAAACATAACACAAAATTAAAACTATAGAACAACAGAGGACCTTTGAGTGGCACCAGTAACCGTGCAGCAGTTTGTGAAGCACTACTGTAGACTAGAGCACAAGAGGAGGCCTATGAAAGTGAAATAAGCTGTACCTCAATAGCAATCCGATGTTGTTCTGCGGGCCCCAGTGTCCTCTGTCGCTTGGCAGCTGGAATCTCCTCTTGCACAGTGAATATGGAAGACCTTGTTTAAACATAAAACAATTGCTTAATACTACATTATTCTAATAGCGTCTGGCTGCAGACAAGTGACGTCACTTGCACTCTCGGACTTGCACGCTCAGACACGAGCGCTTCCTCTGCAAGTGACGTCACTTGCAATCGACGCCTGATCTCTACGGAACGCGATCGTAATAGTCTTTAAACGAAACGTGTGAAATTTGACCGCGTCAACACGAAGTGTTTGTCCGCGGCAATTTTTTACGTGTTTCTTTTGAACGCGTAGACACGCTCATTTTGGTCGTGTTAAGGTGTCATTTGTCATTTTGTTGACAGTTTTTTTCAAATTGCTAAAACACTACAAGTGGAATTTGAGGCTCACTCAGTGAAACCATTCACTCATGTACCCAATCTTTAGACCAAGCCTGCAAAAATACAAGGACATTATATGCTTTGCACTCAGTTTGCATTTGAAAAACAAACTATTTGCAAAACTCTAAACACATTTCTCTACATTACACACATCATTCAAAACTAACAGCTCTTGTGTTTCATTTGGGAAACACTGGCATTTAAATGCCACATTAATTTACTGATGACCTACAGCCAATCATGTGGGAAAACACTTGTACATAAATTGATCACTTAGAAATCAAAACTCAGTTTTGAGAAAGAAAGAAATTATTTTTACTATTATATATTTAATTATTTTCAAGACATTTTGGACAATTTCATGCTCCTAACTTTGTGGGAACAGTTTGTAGATGTAAAACATCAAGATGATGCATTTTTTTTCTTTTTATTGTAAATGTCAATTTACAGTTATTACACACAGTTAATGTGCAAAACAGACAAATACAAGGTAGAAATAGACAATATACAACATATATAAAAACACATTAGCACATTATTCACTTTGCTCTAGTGTAGTTCGACAGTTTACCTTTAATTTCATGACATCGACTACATGTTCAAGAAACATTTGCATGTCATTCATTACAGTAAAGATGAAGCAAAAGGGTTCCAGAGCATCGATTCTGTCCTGTGGAAACTCAGCCTTCTCTAATCTCTCAATGGCTTCCGCAACGTCTTGTTCCTCCATACACTCTACTTTGGGCAAATGAACAGAACCATACAGTGCACTAGATTGATCCAAACACCACTTGCTGGCTATCTTCAAATCTGGCATCAATCGACTCTGTGAAATAACACGGAGAACAAGGGATTGCAAGTGACGCCACAGCCGGTAGCGGAGAGCAGGTGTCGACTGCAAGTGACGTCACTTGCAGCGGAAGCGCTCGTGTCTGAGCGTGCAAGTCTGAGCGTGCAAGTCTGAGAGTGCAAGTCTGCAGCCAGACCCTTCTCATTGTCTCAGCCAACTTCATGAGGTGCTAATTGTGCCGGGATGATTTTAATAATGATTGCTGTAACGTTAGATTCATGCTTAAATTTTTATTATTTTTTAAATGCATATTTAACATACATTTATATTAGCCTATATTCTGTCTTGTACATTAGCCTACTTAAAGCTACTTTTATATTTAATGCTGATTTGATTTCATAAGTATTGTTTAAAAATGTATTTAATTACAGTAGCCTATATACATTTATGGCACTTTACATTTATTTATAAATGATATGATAAAATGCTCCATAATCAAGTTTAGCAAGCAAATAATGTCCCTTATTAAATAAATAAATACATTTCTGACACTGGTAACCATGTATTCTGACATTTGTTGACTGCTTTTCGATATTTGGTCCAACCATTGTACATTTTGGAAATGCAGAATTTAGGCTGTAAAACTAATTTAAAGCATTTATGTATATGCCTTTAAAGATCAAAAGGTTTTTAAGATCATGAGAAACACACTCTCAGTCATGTGTGTCTAAACGTTTGAATGTTAAAGTGCTTAATGTGTTGACAGATTTTAGATTTGTATCATAAACCCCACCTATACAGTTATGTATGAAAAACAAACCCAGAATCTCCTGTTCTGACCTCACAGGGTAAACACATCTCCTACATGACCAGACAGTGAGAAATCAGGGCAAATCCAAGACTAAGCTTAGACAATAGTGTTCTGTTCACATTTGGATCAATGAATGAGTTGCATCATTGCACAGTTTAATTACGGATGGAATCCAGATTGGAAATTTGTGCGTTCCTTCCGCATGGGATCTATTTATAGGCCTTTTGGTTTTATGTTGTCATTTCACATACTGACCACATTTACATGCACATCATCTTCATTGTCCAGATTGTTCTGAAATGCTTACAAGCTATTGGTTCATGTGTTTACATGATGCTTACATAACCTTACATAATTAGGGCTACTGAATTATGCTTCTGTCATGTGAACCTTGCTGGGGTACAGCCAAAAACTTATTGTTAGCAATTGCAGAATTAAATTCTGTCATTATTTGCTCATGTCATTCCGTTTTTTTTCTGTGGCAACACAGACATGTCTTTACATGGCTTTTTTTCTACTACTTTTATGGAGTTTACTTGCTCGCAGACACAAGGGTGAATATGTAATGACAGAATTTTCATTTTTAGGTTCCAATAATGTTGCATTACTTTGTGCTATTCATTTCATGAGAGGAATGTGCATTCATTTCTAGAAGATTAATTAACTTTTTTTAGTGAGACTAGAGATCTCTGCTACTGCAGGTTTAAATGCCTGTAAGAATGCAATAACATTCCATTATTTTAATTATCCTTGAGCATGTCTTAATCAGTTTTTTTTTCCTATAAACATTTGTTTTAAGATAGAACTTGATTCCCTGGGGGAAATCAGTGTGTTGTTATTTTTAAAATGCTGAGCAGTGTGCAATAAGTACACATGAAAAGTACTAAAATTAAAATATAGGCCTTGCATGCTTGCAAATGAATAAATATGTGCATATGCTTTGAATGAGAAGATTAGCTTAGAGCAAAGATTTGAAATATTAGTAATGGTAAATATTTGGATACTGCACATACTTTCGACCATAAACATATTTGTGTCTTTCTGCCTTTGTCATGTCAGAATGTTCTTATGTAAGTGCACATTAAAACCGTTTTATTTTTTTTTAGTGTGAAAAACAGGATTTTCTTTAAGCTTGACTTTCCATAATGGTCATAATCAAGTTTTAATTATGAATGTTGGTTGCTCAACTTTTTTTGTATGCTTTTTTCAACCTGATCTTAGGGGAAACGTATTTTATGAGATAGCAATTTCGTATGAATTTGAATTGTACGAAAATGTATGATTTTGTTTGGGGGAAAAAAGTAAGCCTTAAAGTCCACCTCTACACATAACAGCGTCACTGGGGCGTAAGCAGATTGAGAACATACTAAGTCACACGATTTAGCCAGCAATTTGCCAAAACGTAAAATAGTTATGAATTGGCATGAGATTGTGAAGAAAATACAGGTTTATTGGGCAGGACATGACTGATAAAATAGATACATGATTCATAATTTACACACCTAATGTACATAATTTGCTTGTTTTGCCAATAAGTGAAAAAGCAAAAAAGAAACACAAAATTGCCCAAGGCATCCGTTTCGTTTAAACCAAAATCACTTAAACGCACATGATTACAAATTCCAAGGAAGACTTAAGATAACATCACAATGTTTGTAATATTTTATAAATTGCATTAGCCTACTGCTGACATGAAGGAAAGTTCACACTGCAAGAAATTGAGAATGAGATTTGATTGACTGGTTGTTGTAGATCACAGCTCACTGCGTTCTCTCATCTGTTCCTAACTAACCAGTGGTGCCCAAATCTCTTAGGCTTCCTTTCATCCCTCCAGTGGGAATAAATCACACAGACAGGTCTGTGGTGGGATTAGAGAGGGGTGGGGAGGGCCGTCAGGAGAAGGGAGGTGGAAATTCCAGGGATTTCAATGGGAGGGAGTGACTGAGTTACCTGCACCAGGTAGATCCATAGGGAAAAACTATGGGTTCTTGTACTTGTTTATCAGACCACTTGTAAGAGCACAGCATGGGTACTTAACCTACTTTAGACAGCGTAATAGAGCACCGCTCCCTTAATGGGATGCAGCAAGGCACACCCCAAACTTCCTCTTTCAAACTTGTCAGAACAAAAATGTGGGATTTTATTGTGGTCGTGATTTGACTGAGTTTATAAATCCTATAGGGCTGATTTGGGGTTATGGAAAGATGCTTACCCTTGAGTCATAACATATACATGTATTAGGAGGAAATAAATTCCAAGCACACTTTGTGCATCTAAACAACTGTGATGTTTTAATGTGTTTCCTATCTGCAAGAATTTATGCATTGCAGTTGTGTGTTCTTTTCTGTGTTAAAGTGGCACTATGACTATACAGAATTGCAAAAATAGTACTGTTTTCAAACAAGTTTTTCATCACTGTGCTGCAGTGATGTATTTTTTATCACGGCCAACTTGGAATTTCATCACTCTGGTTCCCTCTACATACAAAACCCCAGGATTTTTCCATAAGCTTTTGGATTATTGCAGAAAATAAGCTCTGTGACCAACAAAAGTTAATGGTTCTTACACGTTTTATTCAGCAAGGTAATCTTCACAAATTAACACAACTTTTATGAATTTTAAAGGCATTTAGCCAAAACCTCATTAAACACATAATCTGGGATGAAACTGGAAATCCCCCCCCCAAAAAAGGCTAACTTATAACTTTCCACATTGTAGGACTCGTTCCTGTAACACACTATATAGCTATACCCGGCCTAGTCAGGCTGCTCAAAACAATTAAAGATTACAATTCTATTGCCACTAGTGGTGCTTTAAAAGAATGAGATACTTTTAATTTTACTTTTAATTTTTACTTTTTTGTGGCACGCCCTTTTTTTTGGCAGTAAGTGAAAAAGCAAAAAAACGAAACATATCCATCTTGTTTCAACTTAGACCATAATTACAAATTTCAAGGAAGACGTGAGCTCTCAACTTTTTGTCCAAAAAGGACAAAAAAATTACTTAAAATGTACCATTAAAAAGAAGTCTATGGCCTGTTTACACCTGGTATTAAAACCTTTTGCGCTCGTTTACTTTCGACCATTTCCAGAGGTAGTCGAAAACTCATTTGAATGTGTTCTAACAGCCAAAAAAGACCGTCTACGCTCCTCATACTGACCTAACGCGCAAACATTATGAGAAGCGCGCTAACCAGACGGATTTAAACTTTATTGAATGAAGACCCAAGTTTGGTTTGAAGATGAAAAAACGTACATACCTTATTTCTACCACACACACTCACAGTGTTTGTCTTGGTCTTGCAGCAGTCAGAAGATGTTTTTCGTATGTTTTTCGTTGTCTCCTTTCCTGTTCATATGTAAATTGCACAAGCTTATTTCATCCATTAGATTGAAAGATCTGAAAATCCCACACATTTACCCACACATAGACCCTCCCCTCGAAGAAATCAGGACAGAAGTGGTTGAAAGTGGACAAAAGAGAAGGATTAAAACCCCAGGCGTAAACAGGAATGTCTCCCTCGTCTACTTGTGATCCGATCGACCAAAACACATCTTAATACCAGGTGTAAACAGGACCTATAAGATTTTATTCTAGGTCTTCTGAAGTCATACAATGGCTTTGTGTGAGAATTTTTGGTCTCTCACTGTCTGCTAAAGACCTGCGTGAAGATTCTTTAGGTTTCAAATGACATAAGGGTAAAAAAATAATGATAAATTTTTCATTTTTATTCCTTTAATTATGCCTCTTTTTGAAATAGTGACTTTTTTTCAGTGTTCAGATGACTGTTGGCAAGTGTTTTTATACCCCATTCCCATCCCACTGGGATATTCTGGATGATCTGTCAGCGCCCAGCTGAAACACATTCCCTCCTGTCAGGGATTCAGCTCAATGTTTTGGTCTTATCTCAGCGCTCGCTCGCAGTATTCCTGTCCGACTGCCGCAGAGAATATCTAAAGGGCCGCGCTTCTCTCCCCAATAACGCCATTCAGCCATTCCACACACGGCTGCCTGGGCTTTTGTGATTTCGCAGAGCGATTGTGCAGGACACAAAAGGTTCCTGAGTGAAAAACATGGGCAGTCAGGTGTAGGAACAAGTGCCGGTTAAAAAGTCATCTTCAGTTGTGCCTCGCCCCTCTTTTTCTTTTTTTTAATGGCGCTCATCTCTAACTTTGTGGTCAATATCATGTTTGTTTCTCCATGAATGCCTTCTTTTATTTTTAGACCCTAAGCCTCTAGCTACACATAGATCGAACAGATCAAACTCTACCTCTCTTGGTGCACACTGTACGGTTTTTGGCAGCTGAGGCAAATCTATAGGGATTGTAATAGATTTGTCGTAGGGGAAAGTGTGCAGTCTTGGATCTCTCAGTTTACTGACTGATTAATTGGCTTTGCGATGGATCTTAGCA